CTAAAGGAAAGCCATTTAAAATTGGCAAAGGACATAGAAGAGCAGCTAAGGACAGAATTTACTTTTGAACAACAATTGGTAGTAGATAAATTTTAGAACGACTTCAAACTGGCAAAACTTAAACTATACGAAAGCATCAACTCAATATACCTTTTATTTCCATTGTCTTGAGCTACAAAAAAGTAGATGAAACTTTTAAGTTATTGAGAGATATAATTCTTAATTATGAAGGACATCAAACAGCTTGAAGGAAAACTATTTTTGTGATGAAAACCGTAACTAAGGATACCTTGTGTTTGTTTCCCTTTTATTCTGATGAGACAGATCACCATTGTTGCCATGGCAATGAATGAGACTGCAACCACTACTGAAAGCGCTATGATTATGTTGTCTTTCTCTTCATCGCTATTCACTGCAATGACAACACAAAATGTGTAGGTTATATGCGGGCTCTTGTCCTGTTGGGGACGGAATTCCGACTGCTAGGAATAGCTTTTAATAAGGCCCTGAAGCTGGACAGAGGGCAGAAGCTAGTATCCATAAATAGGGGACATAGCCCCTTAGCTGTACCGTAAGATGTTATTTTAGACAAAGTTGCAAAACCCGCTTCATTCCTTGAAGTTCCAGCTCTGAAACGAGGAGTCACTAAGCCTTGAGAGTCAAAACCCCCCCCCCCCCCCTTGAAGTATCGCTAGCTCATTACAAAAAGGTGCAATAGGAAGATTCTTATATGGAAGCAACATAATCAACAGCTGGCCTCAAATTTAAAGTGCTGTACTCACAAGGGAATGGAATGATTAGCGCGCTAATAAATGTTTCAGTATTGAAATTCAATTACAATCATCACCAGTGCCAAGTACAGACATTTTGTACCACTGAAATTCAAAGACCAATCTTAGAAACACCTTAGAGATTTAGAAACACACAATGCTGGTCGTGTCAAGATGTGCAATGATAACTACAATGCTACAGGTACTTCATATGCCATTGAAACCTTTCCAGGAAATAAAGGAAATGCCAACGGAACGAAAGATTTCAGCAAAATTGCGAAACCTCCAGTCGCTCTCGAAGATATAAACACATCCTATACACAATCAATTTATGACCAACGAATAAAGGCGAACAAAAACAAGAAGAACAAGGACCGGCACAATCTTTATCTTCATCAAATACTCGAGATAATACAACCCCAATAAAAAGAAACACCAACAGCAGCGTCAAAAAAAACAATGGAAACAGCAAAAACAACAGAGATTTCGAAAATGGGAATGAAAATAACACCACAATCATACCAGGTGACTCCATTTTAAAAAATGTTGCACCCTGGAGACTACGTAAAAGACTGGATACAAATGTCCGATTGTTTATACACGCCTTTCCCAGTGCCACTGTATCAGATATGACAAGCTACTGTATAACATCAATCGATAAAAACCCAAACAATGTCATATTCCACTGTGAAACAAATGATCTTAAGTCTGACAAGTCAGAGATGGTCATTGCAACGGAATTGATAAGCTTTGGCAAATCAATTAAGGCAAAAGGTATGAATGTAACCATTTCTGGGTTGGTAACAAGAAGGGACAATCTTGAAGACAAAAGAATCAGAACAAACGCTACTATAAATAGTATGTGCGATAGAGAAAACCTAAAATACATCACGCACAACAATACTAAAATTGAGCACCTTAATCGTAGCCAACTACATCTCAACAAGTATGGAGATAGTATTATTGCTAATAATTTCTTAAAATATTAAAAGTGTGACGATTTAGTAAGATATTAACGAATGAAATCGACAGTGACATATTAACAAATGAAATAAAAAAGAATAGTGAGGTTGCCTATGGAGTTACTGAAAATCAGGAAAATAATAGCCGTGAGCATAACACCCCTATCCTCTTTTAATAACATAGAATTTGCTGACGAAAATGTGGATGCAGGCTCCGATGAAAGCTCGAATAACACTGTCGCAGAAAGCTCGAACTCTGAAAACGTCTTCAATAAGCTTAAAGCTTAAGCTTAAAGATTTTCGAGCGAAAAATAAAAAAGAACTTATATTGAGCTACCTGAGCATCAACTCGATACGACATAAATTTGATATGCTGAAAACAGTTGTATCCAAAAATATAGACAAAATAACAATAGCTGAGAGGAAAATTGATAACACGTTCACAACTAGTCAATTTATGTTTGATGGCTTTATTAAACCCTTTAGGCGGGATCGCAACAAAAATGGCGGGGGCCTTCTAACTTTTGTCAGAGATGGGATACCAGTTAATGAAATTTGTAGTCACACATTTCCTCGTGAAATTGAGGTAATTGTAATCGAGTTAATTGTCATAAAACAGAAATGGCTACTTCTTATTCTTAATCTTTATCGACCCCCGTCTCAATGTCCAAAATTCTTCTTCGAGGAAATAGAGAAAGGGCTTGACTTTTGCAGCAACAAATACGAAAAGTTTATACTGATAGACGGCTTGAATTGTGAATCCGTTGACAGTGTGATTCGGGACTTTATGGATAGCTTTGGTCTAAAAACATTGTAAAGGACCCGACCTGTTTTAACCCTATCCAGACTAGGCTTTTTGAAGCTTTCGGGAGACTAGGGGGGGGGGGGCACAAAGTGCCCCCCCTCCGTAATTTCTTTGTCCCTCTAGCTAGGACAATGAACTTTGTTTGGATGGTACTCTTATCTTTTCTCCACATTTGAGTATTATTGTTCAATTTTTAAGTCACGTGGTTTTACGATGACGTCATCATAATGGTGGCCGGGTGAAGCAAAAATTTAGAAAATATTAGAAAATCTTAAAATATTCATTAATTCCAAAGCATCGGGCTAACGTATTAAAATAAGCAAATTTGATGCATTTTCTAATAGAAACAAGAAGTTTGACACAATTTTAATGTTACTTCTCAAAATTATTAACGTTCCAAACAAAAGAACTCAACATATTTTGTATTTGGCTATAGTTTTTTCTATATAACTAAATGATCGATACAACCAAATGTCATGTTTGAGTTAATTTTTAATGCCTTAGCAGACAAATTATTCTAAACTTGCAGTTTTATTAATGTAATGACTATAAATATGTCAACAAATGTGTGCGCATGCGCAGCAGAAAAATCATAGAAAAGGATGTTGAATTTGAATTTTTTGGTCAGAATCACGAAGAAAGCACAAATTAATGCCTAGATACTAATTTTCATCAATATACCTACTTTTGTTGCGAATCCTTGGCAGATTGAACTATTTTTTACTTGACTAGTTTTGAAAATGCCCCTACACAACCCCCTGATTAATAATAAAAAACTTATCTTTTTATCTTTTTATATGAACATGTGTCAGATAGGTTAAAACTAAAAGTCAGGAGGTCTGAGGGGTATTGCTTTGAAACTCCTGAAGTTATGAAAGAAAAACCAACTAGGGGGGCACTTTGTGCCCCCCTAGTCTGGATAGGGTTAAGTCGGCGTTCTAAACTATAGCGACATTAACCCCTCACACGTGATTGAGAAATTAGAGAAAAATTCCTCAACAGTTGCAGAATGGTTTAAAGACAACTGTATGAAGTTAAATGGGGACAAATGGCACTTCATGACCTTTGGCAATCAAAGTAATCACTTAGCCATACAAATAGACAACAACCTAATCAACGAAAGCAGCGAGGAAAAACTACTTGGTGTAACTATAGTCTAGAACGCCTACTGTAAATAAATGAATTATTATTATTATTATTATTATTATTAATCAATAGAAGGATGGAGGGCTACCTTTGTGTACCAAATCCATAGTAAGAAGTAACCCTCTATCTCACGGTTTCTAGAAATCTAAATTCAATCAAATATAACTTGCCTTGTTTTTCTTTACATGCTGTTGGCTGAACACTTGTCTTCCCCTTAACTGTTGATTTGTGGGTCGTGTCTGTTCTCGTTGTTGGTTCACTTGAACTTGGTACTAGTGTTGTTGGAGAAATTTTTACATGCAACTTAAGGTGTTCACAAATAGGTTTTCTAAGTATTATGCTTTTAAACAGCTGTAAATCGTCCAAAACAATAATAGCAACGAGATCAGGTCCAAGAAAGGAAAATAAAAACGCGATTATGAATGAGATATACACAAACCCGGTGTTTTTGAAGTTTTTGATGTAGTGGTCGGCGGTAGTGTTGTTGGGATGGGTGTTTCTGAGACTTTGGCAGTGTAGACCTTTGAAGTACTTTTGAAACTCATCGTCATTTCAACATCAGTGATATTCACATTTCCTGGAATCTTGCATTTCTTTATTTTATCGATGTTATATCCAGTTTCAGTATAAACAACAATCCTTGAAGCATTTTTCAATCTCACTTCGTATTTCACGGAACAAGCTCCAGATTTGGCCTTCGTCCATTTCACTTCGACACAACTATCTACGATTTTCTTTCCTGCTTGCAAAATTGGATTGGCATCAAGTTTCACTGAAAATAGAAGATTCACACGTCGAGAAAGTACTAAAAGAGTTCCGTGCGTTCCAGCTACAAGGGTTCCATTTTATTTTAAAATAAAAAACGAAAAAAAGTGATGGGCCGTCCGTTAATTCTGCATGAAAATGCTAAGGTGAAAAGTCGGGGATCGATTGACTTCAGGCAGTTTGAAAGCAATATAACATGGTCAGTTGAAAAGATGTCAAAGAGAAACTTTCTAGATATTTGAATATGCAATTTAAAAACTGCGTTTGGACTAAAAGCAGGCCGAGACGCCCTGCAAAAGTACTGTAGTAATAATTACATAAGGCACTCACGTAAAACAGTGACATTGGTGTCTTTGGCAAGTGATGATCCAATACTGTTCTTCACTGAAGATTTCAATATCCTTCCACAAAAAGTAGCCGCTATATTTGGATGTGAAAACTTTGCTGAATAAACATACGGGTAAATTTGGCTACCAACAACAGTTGTCCCACCATCACTAAGATGAGGCCAAAGAAAATCAGCTGATGGTGCAGGGTTTCCATCCATTTCAATCGCCATTTCTAAATTTGAATTTTCATTCACTTCAATTGTAGCTGGAGTTGATGTAAGGAATTCTGGTACTCCTATTGAAGGAAAAGAAGGAATATTTGATACACATAGAATTGGCAAATTATGAGTAGTGTACATTGACAGTAGTTGTGGGTGTTTTAATGATTGGCTCTGTTTTTTCTAGATATTGGCAGAAAAAGTGGATAAAACTTTTGATTCTTTACTTTGTTTTTTACTTTATTTTTTCAATTCATTCATTTTCATTTTCATCCATTCTCAATTTCACCAATTCTCAATTTGATCAATTCTCAATTTCATCCATTTTTATGTTCAATCACCATCAGCAATGATTAATAACAAACGACCAAAACGATAGTGTTAATATTAATAGTATTATTCAACAGAAAACACTGTCAAAACTAGGTAAAGTTTTTAACACGAACAATTTCATGTTACTGAACACGAAAAAAATCGTGTTCTCGTTTTGTATCTAAATTAGTTAATAAGATGAGAAACAATGAGATATCATCTTAATTTCTTGGCTGCTCCATTCCAAAATCATAATTTAAAAAAAATTACACTTTAAAGTGTTTTGTTAATATTTACCATTGACAGTAATCCGGACAACTGGTTTGAGGTCACCTCTATTTGGGTTGGTTGTACCACCTACAATAATTTCTGTAATAATATATGATGCAAATTGGTAAGCAGTGTCATTGTACTTCAATCCACTGATCACCAATGTATCATTTGATGGTATTACTGTGAGTCTTCCAGTGAATGGTGCTGGAACAGTTGGCACAAGCTGAAGCACACCATTTGCTCCTGTCCTCTTTGCTACAGGTTGCAGTGCTGCCTGTGAAGAGCTGTTAAATCCAATTATTTGTTCTTTGTATGTTATAAATCCGGGTATATCACCTCCATACTCATATCCCCACGTTAACCGTATCGATGAGCCTTTCAGTGATGTCACGTGACTTGGTGATGACTTTGTTTCATTTGCAATAGCTTGTCCTTTATTAAGTGCGGTTACTGTAACTGAGATATAGAAATGCTAAACGAATAAAATCAAATTAGCGAAAAAAGCTTTGCTGTAAGTCGTTAATTCAATATTTTATCACATATTCAGCCTATGCAAAGTTACTCGTGTTATTCCTATACGTTACCCATTTAACAAATCAAGAAAAGATTTTAACTGGCTTAGCTTAGCTTCGGAACTTGTCCATGTCATGGAAAATTGTAAATTTTAAAGCTAGCTATTTCTGGATATTTCTTCTTGCGTAATAGTAATGTTTCAGTTTTACTTTCATGCACCTTGCAAAAGCCTAAGCTGAATTTTGACACTAAGGCCATTCGATGTTTTAATTTTCAACTACAACATAAATACCTGATGACAGTGTGTATGTGAGCCAAAATATCTTGAATTGAATATTCCACTCTACCTCCATGACAAAGAAAAAAGTGTTGCTGAAAAGGAACAAGTTGTGGAATTGGAAGATGATCGATTAGATTCGTCACATTTCATTTTTTTAGAGCAGGCTGGTTTATTTTTCAATATTGCATGAAGAAAAATAGACAAAAATTCCAAGAGGCATACTGATGTAGGAATTAAGCATACTAAGAGCTTTTGGATCGCTTTTTTTAGGGGTTTTCAAAATTAGATTATGCCAAGAGTATCTTTTTGTATATTTTGTTCAAGCCAAGGATCGTCACCGGATATAAACGAATCGATCGGGATCCTGATTTAAATACTTTTTTCCTTCGTCTATAAACAGCGGGTTTATTATATCTGATAATTTTAGTGCCAAGCAGAGTTTATATGTTCATGCCCTGCTCAGCATTTCCTTTCATTTTTTCTTTCCCATTTTTCTTTCCCATTTTTTGTACATTTTAGGTGCCTTTCATTATAGTCAATCTAAAATGACTCGTTCAAGTGAGTAACACATTAAGTAACTTTCTAGCTAATAATATATCAGAGAACTATGCATTTTTAGGTATTTTTTCAACCTTTTCTCAAAGAGAGATGTATCATGGTTCAAATACCCCAGTCTTGAAATTGCTTTTGAAGAAATTTTTAAAATTGTATCTAGCTTTATATTTTAAGCCAAAGTACACCAGTAAACAAAGTTACAGTTCTATAACTTGCATAGCTAAAAAGTTATACTGAAAGGCCTGATAAAAGTCACTTTACAAAAGCATGGCTAAATAATGGCAAAAGTATTCAAAAATTGAAAGGAAATGACAGCAAGGAGTATCCTGAAATATATTTCAAACTAATCTTATAGGCGTGGTAGTGAAAACTTTCTGTTTGCTTCCCTCGCAGGAGGTTTTGGCTTTCTGTTTTAACTGCGGGCTTCCGAAACCTCTCGACCATCCTGCTTATTCCCCTCTTCATGTGGCGCTCTCCATACCGTCGTTGTCTTTATTAGCATATTTAAAATTTTACAGTCCAAAGGCGGAAATTCAGGCTTCCATTTGGGGGTGGGGAGACCTACGATTTTCCGACAAGACAGCATCTTGGATCATATCTAATTTGACTGCACATTTTGATAAAAATAGACGATTTTCTGACGGGTTCTTTTAGAAATCTTTGCTGACCACGCCATAATTAATTAGCAAGAAGAACAATCCATTTATGATTTTTTATATCAAGATCGATGTCTCATCAAAGACAATTGATGATACAAGAGGTCGACCGATTACACTTTTGAAAAGTCGTACCTTCATTTTATGGATTTTATCTTGTTTTCGTCAGTGGAAAATACGTTTGAAAATAACTTTTATTCGGAAAAATCCGATGGAAATTTCGGCTAATCTTTACGGATTGAAATTAAGCAATTTTGGTTTAGGTCCTATATTGTTTGATTGATTATTTAGTACTGGTTCCTATTTTATCAGCCATGCTTTGTTCAAATTTTGCAAAAAGGGCTGAGAAAGCTTAAAGGACAAGTGACACACTTTTCACCCTATCTTTTCTTTTCATTTACTAATAGATCATCATTTAGAAGTAAGTTTTTCCTGGTTTAGAACAAAAAATTCTAATCAGGGGGCGCAGGGGGCGCGATTTTCCTTTTTATCACGTGACCCTATGACGTACATTGTGATAACTCGGAATTTTTCTGTCATTAATAGAGAGTTTACGAAACACGACGCGACATGTCCAGACGAACTGAATTCGGTTAGAAGCGTGTTGTAAACGTTAATATTGCACTGTATACCAGTAGCAGCAATAACAAATTATCACAATCTACGTCACGGTGTCACGTGATTCATTTCCCGCCATAATTTGAAAAGGGTTTTTAAGTAGGAAAATGAAATCAGAAAGGAAAAATATTTCAACAGCACTCTCATACAGCATTTTACTTTAAGTTAAAAGAAGAAAAAAATTTGGCGCCAAAAGCGTGTCACTTGTCCT